CCCCCCCTCCCTCCCCCATTACCACCCCTCCCTCTTCTAAGGCCTCCCGTGTGCGCTCGACCAGGGCATAGAAAGCGGAGAGGGGGAGGGAGACGTCGAATTTGTGGACCCGCCCCTCCTCCTCCATAGCCACGGGGATCAACTCTCTCAGCTTCCAGATCTCCTGGGCCTGGGCCAGGTCCTGCGCGACGGTACCGTCGCCCACCACCCCTCCCTCCAGGGCCGCCTCCAGCAGCTCCTCCATTTTTTCCCGGTCGTGGGCCTCGCCCGAGCCCGAGGTCTCCAAGAGCATGTAGAAAGGGAAGGGCGGGTTCGCGCCCGATCCCCCCGCCAGAGGGTTTCGCAGGCCCCACGCGGCTTTGCCTACCACCACGTCCATGGCAGCGGCGTCCACCAGCTCCATCGCGGACAGGATCTCGCCCAGCTTCCGCTTGCTGAGCATGACCATCTCCCGGACCTTCTCGAAGCTTTCCAACCCCACCAGGGCCACTTGCACCGCAGCAGGCGCCGGGGGCACCTGGAGGGAGACCTTGGTGATAACGCCCAAGGTGCCCTCGGCGCCGATGAAGATCTGCTTCAAGTCCAACCCCGTGTTGTCCTTGCGCAAGGTGCTGAGCATGTCGAGCACGCGCCCGTCGGCCAGCACCACCTCAAGACCGAGGACCGAGCCGTGCAAAGATCCGTACCGGAGGAAGCGTAGCCCCCCCGCATTGGTGGACACGTTGCCGCCGATTTGACAGCTGCCTTTGGCGCCTAAATCGAGCGGCATGATGTAGCCATGGGGGCGCAACCACGCGTCGAGCTCCTCGAGGACACAGCCTGCCTCGCAGACCAGGATGCCGCTGGCGGCGTCAAAGCTGATAATTTGATTCATGTTCGCAAGGGAAAGGATCACTTCGTTTGCGAGGGGGATCCCGCCCCCGACCAGACCCGTGTTTCCGCCCTGAGGGACCACGTGGAGGTCTCTCTCATAGCAATGCCGCAGGAGCCCCGCCACCTGCTCGGTCGTGCGGGGTTGAAGGACCGCTGGGCACTGGGGAGCTTTCCACTTGTGAGTCCAGTCTTGTGTGTAGGGGGCGAGCAAATTTTCGTCGTCCGGGCCTGAGGGGGCCAAGAGGAGTTTGCCGGCAGCGGAGGAGGGAGAGCGAGGAATAGCGCTAGCACCGCCTGCAGAGGAGGCATCGCACGAGGGCTTCATTGTGCTGGCTTGGTCATTGCCCATCCTTGCAGAGACGTGACTGGGATTTGTCGATGTCAGAATGGCTTGAAAACGAGAAATATCGGTTGGTGTGACTGATGAAGACGCTTGGGGGGAATGTGGCGGGTTCAGGTCTGCCCAGGCTTTTGCGTCGGAAGAGGCGGGACGGGATGGTGGACGGGCATTCAAATGTAATGGTGAGGGGCGTAAAGACTTGGATTCGCGATGCGCGTGATAGAATGATGTGGTTTGCGAGGTCAAGAGCGCCGGGCCGTGTCCAGGAAGAGGAGGGTGCTGAACGCGACTTTTGATTTCACGAGTCGTGACGGCTGGGTTCTTGATACCTTGCAGCGTGCACGCCGGCAAGCGATCGACCGGAAGTGTTTTTTTAAGCATCGCCAACATTGTCTGCGTGGATGTGGTGGTACGGCATCAGCATTAGAGAGCATGGTTGGATTACATGGCATCGGGGCGGTGGGAGGAGCAGGACAGGAGGTTACTGGAATGGCTTTGAACATCCGAGTCCGACTTTGCCATGTACGAAGTAGAAGGAATGCTCCAGATGTAGACCTGAAATGGTGATATTTGACTTTTTCGTTGCACCCTTCTTAAGAGGATGTCTGAATTGCATGTTGTTGCGCCTTACGCTGTGCAGACAGTAACTTTCCTCGCGGTCAATACGCCCCCTTTCCCCCCCCACCCCAGAGGCAAATTAGCATGCCCGATGGTGCAGGTCGAGCCGCCGCCGCCAAGAACGAGGGAAATAGCGATGTAAAGGACCTCGACGTGGAACCAACAGCGGAAAATATCGCTATGTCGCCCGGTGACGCTGCCAGAGGGACTCCTGACGCGCCGGGAGAAGAAACGGGTTCCACGGCCAGCGCCCCCTCGCCTGAGATGTCATCCGCCGTGGAGGCAGAGTTCCCCGCTCCAATGGAGGTAGACGAAGCTGTTCTTCCCAGCGAGAGTCAAGGAAGTGCCAACGGGGGCGTTCCCGACTCTGTCCAGGCCGAGGCTGGGGCCGGTCCTGACGCCTCCCGTCCCGCGCCCCTGCTTCCCGCTGTGTCCGCCCAGGTGCCTCCACCACCTCCAGCAGCCTCCGACACAGGGGAGGGCCTGACATTCCGGGTCCTTTACGGGGTGCTCGAGCACGAACCCTTGTGCTACCTGTTAAAAGTCGGGGAGGCGACCCTTCTGCTGGACTGCGGGTGGGACGTGCAGCTGGATGAAGCCTTGCTCGAGCCCCTGCTTCCTGTCCTTCCCCAGGTCCAGCTCGTCCTCCTTTCCTTTCCAGACCTTTCCCACATGGGGGCCTTGCCCTGGGTGGCCAAGCACCTGCGTCCCGGCGTTCCAATTTACACGACCCAGCCTGTTTTCAAGATGGCTCAGATGGTGCTCTACGACCTGTACCTGAACAAGTGCATGGACACTGCCAGCGGCGCCGCCGGGTGTCCCGCCTTTACACTCGACGAGGTGGACGCCGCCATGGCGCGTTTCCAGCTTCTCAAGTTCTCGCAGCCGCTGGAAGTGCGGCAGCAGGGCCGCTTCTACCTGAGTGTGACTCCTTACCCTGCGGGACGCATCCTGGGCGGGTGCTTTTGGCGCGTGAACTACAAGAAGATGGAGGAGATCGTGTACGCGGTGGACTTCAATCTCAAGAGCGAACGGCACCTTACGGGGGCCGTGGAGGCCTTCAATGCGCTGAGCGCGGACAAGGAGCAACGACCCTGCCTCTTCATCACGGACGCGCGCCCCTCCCCCAATCTGTCGACGGACGAACGCAAGGTCGAGACCGAGTTCCTGGCGGCGGCTACCGGGACCTTGCGGAAGGGTGGGCATGTCCTCATCCCCGTCGAGACCTCGGGACGCGCCCAAGAGCTCTTGCTCGCGCTCAACGGGCACTGGCGCTCCGATCGGCTCCTGTGGGGCTACAAGATCGTCCTCCTCCACCACATGGCGCGTAACGTGCTTCACTTCACCAAGAGCATGGTCGAGTACATGCACCCCGAGGTCATCCGGGACTTCGACCGCTCCCTGCGCAACCCCTTCTCGCTCAAGCACGTGGTCCCCGCCCAGAGCATGCTCGAGCTGGAGGCCGCCATGGGCGAGTACCGGAACCCGGTGGTGGTGCTTGCGAGCGACGAGGGCATGGACACGGGCTTCTCGCGCGCCCTCGCCACCCGGTGGGCGAGCGGGCCTGAGAACGCCTTGTTATTGTGCGGACATCTGCGGAAGGGGAGCCTGGCAGAAAGCTTCTGGAAGCTTCGGCACCTGCCCAAGGCGGCGCTTTCCTTCAGCGTTCCAGTTATAGAGCGCATCGTGGGGGAGGAACTGGCAGGCCTGCGAGAGAAGGAAGACAGGGAGCGTCGGAAGGCTTTGGAGGCGGAAGAGTTCCGCCGACAGGCCCATGAGCTTATGGAGGGTACGGTGGGCGCGGTCTTCTCGGAGGAGCAAGGGATGTTGGCAGGAAACTCGTCCAACGGCCCCCTGGCACCCCTTCAGGCCTCCTCCTCGGCCAAACGCCTGCGTAAGACCGCTGCCATGTACCGCCGGCCTCGCTATCTGGTCTTCGGGTGTCGAGATCCAGCCAGCGTGGAGGTGGATGCCTATGGAGAGCCGCTGCGGGAGGGGGAATGCGTGGACGAGGGCAACGCCGGGGGG